TTCTCTCTTGAGAGCCTCCAGAAAGAACCAGCTATCAACACCTTGATTTTAGCCCTATGGCACTCATTTTGGACTTCTGACCTCTAGAATGACAAAACAGGAAACAGTGTCAGTTCGAACTGGTAACAGGAGAATGGACTAATGAGGTATTAAGTCAGTTCATGTATAGAACAGTCCAAACTCTGCATACACATGCTCCTCTGTGAGACCAGGTCTTTCTCCAGGATAGGCCCCGGATCTCACTATTACAGACCCCGCTGACCTCCAACTCAGATCCACCTGCTTCCACCTCCCAACTGCCGGCAAGCTTTGACTTTTAAAAATGCATCCATGAGGTTGGAAAGATGGTTCAGCAATTAGGAGCATTGCTGTTCTTGCAGAGGATATAGCTTTGACTCTCAGCATCCGCACGGGGGTTCACAACCAACCAACCAACCAACCACTCTTACCTCTGTGGACACCAAGCAAGCACATAGTGCACATACATACATTCAGGCAAAATAAAAGTTACTTTAAAAAGTTGTTTTAACATATCTATGTACACAGGAAAAAGTAACACTGCAAGATAACTAATAAAACAGAATGTGTGCTCCTACCTCTAGCAGGATGACTCATCCTTTCCTACTTTATTATATTTTCTTCTTAAATTACAAAAAGGTTTTATTATTTTTATAATTAGATAAATCGTATTATTTATTATGTTCAAGAAATTCTTTAAAATAACATTTAAATGAGGATGTTACATTTTCTGGTAAGAGAGCAGCACAAAAATTCAACTGTATGCTGGGTGTGATGATACACGCCTTTAAACGCAGCACTCAAGAAGCAGAGGCAGGAGGATCTCTGAGAGTTGAAAGCCAGACTGGTCTACATAAGTGAGTTCTAGGACAGCCAGAGTACAAAGTGAGACCCTATCTCAAAAACAAACCAAAACAACAACAAAAATCATGTCAGGCTTACTTATGTTGGTACAGACTGATGGTGAACAATTTCTCTCAGCTGTTCCCATAATCTGTCTGCAGTAGCCTTCCCTGCTAAGGGAGACACCGCAGCTCCACACAGCTCCTTCCAGAAACTTCACAGGCTGCTTACTCACAGAGCCTCTTGAAGCTGCCCACCCTGGATTCTCCAAGTGCTGATCAGACTTAATTCCCAGGCACCCCTGTGGAAAACCTGATTACTTTCTGTAAGAAACATATTCTAAGGACAGTCTTTCCACCCATGACTTCCCATGAGTATGACTGCACCGCTCACATGGGTGGACTTACGATGAGCCTGACATCAAATACTACATGAGGCATATCAGAAACACATGCAATGGGGCACATATGCAAGAGAAGAGGGAGCAGCAAGGGGCAGCTAATGCCTCTTTCAACTCTGAAATTCTATTTACAATGTGCACAGTAAAAGAACATCAGCAAGATTACACTTCTGGGTATACTTTAAATATATCTGAAGCTATTTTCTTGAATATGATTTTAAAATCTAACTCAGGTGAGAAGAAATAACCCATATCACAGTCATCTAATTATGCCACCACGCCCTGCCTCTTAATAAACTAGTTTACTGAAATAACTCCAGTGAAGGCTGTTTAAACCATGAAAGGGTACTATTCAATTTAATTAAAAGTTGGCTGGAAAACGATCTCTTTTGTAACTCGACTGCACACTTGGCTGTATTCCTGCTGTTTAACAGGCTAACGATTGAGCAGCACCAGAAGATACTCCCTTAAAATAAGGTGTATATGGAGGCCTCAATGACCCAGCAGCCAGTGTAACGTGAACAGAGACACAGAGGCATTTACTGCCTGCCCTGCGGAGTTTGTTCTTGGCTCCTAGCAGTCTCTCCTAGTCTCTACACATCTAACAGGGACCAGCTGACCAAAGATTGTGCCACCAAACTTCTAACTTCCCTCATTTTATCTGAAATTCATTTCCTTAAAGAAAACAAGGACGACAACAACAACAACGACAAAAACACTGTCAAGATTAATAAGACCTGGGACTGGAGCAGTGATAAGCACTTTCTGCTAATCCAGAGGACCTGGGTTCTATTCCCAGGTCTATAAAACCACTTCCAGGGGATCTGATTCCCTCTTCTGGTTTCCTCAGGCAAGTGGTGCATACACACACATGCAGGCAAAAGTCTCCTATACATAAAATAAGCAAATAAGCCGGGCGGTGGTGGCATACATCTTTAGTCCCACCACTTGGGAGGCAAGGGCAAGCAGATCTCTGTAAATTCGAGGCCAGCCTATTTGACAGAGCAAGTTCCAGGACAGCCAGGGCTACACAGAGAAACCCTGTCAAAAAAAAAATAAAATAAAACTAAAAATAAAAATAAAAATAAAAATAAAATAAAATAAAATAAAATAAAATAAAATAAAATAAAATAAAATAAAAAAAACCAAGACTAACAGGGCTGGTCATATGGCTCCAAGGGGAAAGGCGCTTGGTGTGCTGCCTGATGATCTGAGTTTGATCTCCAGAACCCTCAGAAGAGGGAGAGAAGAGAACCCACTCCACAGCTGTCCTCTGACATCATACATACATGGATTTCTGAAACATATCAAAACAGACTGCACCACTAGGAAAGATAAATCAACTCATTTGTCACCTCTTTAACTGCCTCAGTCTTAAACTTTGTCACCTCCCAAAATACCAAATGGACAGTCTGGACTCCTTAACATTTCAGACCACTGGGTTCTGATCCCATCTATACCACCCTGAAGGGCTGGAGTAATTAGCAATCAAGAGTTGCTAAAAGGGGCTGGAGAGGTGGCTCAGAGGTTAAGAGAACTGGCTGCTTTCCAGAGGTCCTGAGTTCAATTCCCAGCAACCACATGGTGGCTCATAACCATCTATAATGAGATCTGGTGCCCTCTTCTGGCATGCAGGTGTACATGCAGGCAGAACACTGTATACATAATAATAAAAATAAAAATAAGAATTGTTAACAGGGGGGCTGGAGAGATGGCTCAGTGGTGAAGAGCACTAGCTGCTCTTCCAGAGGACCTGGGTTTGATTCCTAGCACTCACACAGCAGCTTACAACTATCTGTAACTCCAGTTCCAGGAGATCCAACACCTTCACATAGACATACACACAGGAAAAACACCAACACACATGAAATAAAAAGAAATTATTTTTAAAGATTTATTTATTATTTATACAACATTCTGCCTGCACACCAGATCTTACTATAGATGGTTATGAGCCACCATGTGGGTGCTGGATATTGAACTCAGGACCTTTGGAAGAAGAGCCAGTGCTCTTAACCTCTAAGCCATCCCTCCAGCCCAAGAAATCATTTTTTAAAAGAGTTGCTAATACTGTACAACTTCCTCCCCAGAAGAAAGTATTAACAACATTCCTTGAAGGGCCTGGGGATGGTCCAGGAGACACAAGGGCTTGAATTAAGATCCCCAGAATTCACACAGAAAGTTGAGCAAGCCAGGGCACAACCATAATCCCAGCACCTGGAGGCAGTGACAGACAGCCCCTAGGGCACACTGGCACATTAGTCTAAGTTAATCAGTACGCTAGACTAGATCAATCACTGATCCCAGAATCAGTGAGCCCCTTCTCAACAAATAAGGTGAAGCACGGTCAGGAAGGCCAGCTGCAGAGCTCTGGCCTCCATGAACAAGTGCAACCACATACCCAGACTTCCCCTTTCGCCTCCTGTCCAAAGACTGTCTACCATCAGGTAGAGAAGAGAATCAAAGTACAGACTATAAAAGCAACAAGAAGGAAGAAAATGTGACTAGAAACCCCCTCCTTCATTGCTAGGTGACTGGAGGAAGCAGTGAGGCTCGCCAATACTACATCGTATTTTTGAAAAGTAACAGCCAACTCTTAGCTATACGGGATGTTTGAGGGCTGCAGGAGAATCCTAATGGGCAGAAGTGAGGCTCAGGTAGCCACCTCCGGGAGAAAAAAGAAACAAACAAAAACCAGCTCTGTGGCCAGACGTGCCACATACGGGAAGATAAAACCTTCTTGGCAAAAGATGTTCCGCATGAATAGGAATAAATGTGGACTGTTACACAATGTAGTATCATTCAGCCATTAAAAAGGATGAAATACTGATTCACTAGTACAGAAAAAAAAAAAAAAAAAAAAAAAAAAAAAACAGGAATGATTTACTCTACAACACAGATGAATTCTGGAAACAAGGCACCAAGAAACCTGACACCAAAGGACACATGTAACTCCTGACCGAATAGTCCCAAAAGGCAAATCAAAGGAGACAAGTACACTGAAGATAAGCAGACTGAAAATGGACAGTAACCACAAAAGGGTGGTGGTGAGGGTTGTCTTGGGAGTGGCTCAGCACACGGTCGCAAAGTCACTGGAGGGTAACACTTAAATCAAACGACCCTGCGATACGGACACTTCATAAACATTAAGTTCTTACATTTGAAAAAGGATCGATAAGTGGGGTGGCGGTGCACGTTTTTAATCCCGGCACCAGAGGTGGAAGCAGGAGGATCAAAAGTTCAAAGCCAGCTTGAGCTATTTAGACCTTGTCTCAAATATTAACTCCCCCCCCCCACATTAAAAAAAAAAAAAGTTTTTTAGTTTTGCAGATTTTAATGGACGAACTACTTTTTTCTCCGTCCGGTTTTTCATTCCTTTCCAAACCTAAGGGTTAGCGAGGCTGACCGCCAGAATCAAAATTTTCGAGCGTTCCTCCTGTCACTTCAAAGCCCCACTCGGGGAGGGGGGGGGGGGGAAGGAACCAAAAAACCCTACAGTAACTGCAAACACGAGCCTGACGTGCGGGAAGCTACAGGCCGGTCCCTGGGGCTCGCGACCGCAGCGCCCTGCGGAGGAGGGCGGCGCGTGCGCACCAGCGCGCAGGCGCGGGCCAGGCCGCTGCTCCGCCTGCTGCGGGCCAGTTTCGGGTGCAGCAGCGGCCGCCGGCGGCCCCCACGCGGGGAGCGAGCGGCTGGGGTGAGGGCGCAGCCGCCTCTCGCCCTCGGCCGGAAGACGTACCTGCGTCCGCCTCAGGCTCGGAGTTGGCGGGCCCGGGAGAACGGCGCCTCCGCCGCGAACACGCCTCGGGTCTCCATTCGGGGATGTTTACTCGCAAGTCTCGCGAGACCGCGCCGCTGAGTGGGACAGGAGCGACGGCCTGGCGTGCCCCGCGCGCCCTCGACCTGCGTGCGCGCTCCCGACGTCCCGGCAACCGAGGCTAGCGGCTGTCCGGCGATCTCGCGACATTTGCGGGCCTGGGGCGGGGGCGGGGTCTCCTCTCTGTTCGGCTGTGGGGAACGCGGTGTGTTTAGGGTCTTCTGGGTATGCGGGCCTGGAAACTAGGAAGGGAAGCACGCGTCTTTGCGCAGCCAACTGCTCCTCCTCGTATCCAGTCTATCTGTGCACACTCCTAAACCACCGCCATGGCCCCAGCTGCTGATGGCCAGGGTCTATGTATCCTGCTAAACTACCCACCATGGCCCCAGCGGCTGAGGGCCTCTAATGGCTTGGCTCAATGCACCCCTCCTGAACGAAGTCCCGCACCCCTCCTGAACGAAGTCCCTTTGTCCTTGACAGGGCTTCCTTCTAAACCAAATCTATGCCTTCTCCTAAACTACTGCCATGGCTCCCAGCTGCTGAGAGGACCTCGGATGGCCCACCTTATGACTGCTGCCAGGTGCGTGCATCTACACCTTGAGAAGCAGGAAGGGCGTTTATAACACCCAGTATTTACCATTTTCAGCAAACAAGGATCAGTGTGAAAATCGGCCTAGTAAAACGTACTTGAGCAATTTAAACACCGGTGGGATAGGCCCGTTCTTCTGTCTTAGTACTAAGCTGGACCACACTTGGCCCTTGCACAACCTAAGTGTGAGCAGCAAGCACGCTTGGGTAATGTGACTGAACCAGTTAACGGATGGTGGAGACAAGCAAACCTAGAGTCCTAGGCTCAACCTTGGGAGATGGGCCTTCGCTACCAAGCCTGGTATAGAAATTGGGTTACTCCCTGGAACCTCCAGCTGACCTCCAAATTTCCGGAGAGGGGATTTGGGCCCAGAGGAGAGCCTGTGCGGGGCTCTTGTTGCCTTACTTCTCAGGTGCTCGGTCAGAAAGTGCAGATGGAAGCTAGAAGGATGACTGGGCCAAAGAGTACCTGTAAGAGGGCGCACGATGCTTAAAGAGGACCCAAGTCTAGATCCCAGCACCTACACTGGGCAGCTCACAAACCACCCGTAAACTTCAGTTCTGGGGAGATGTGCCGTTTTTGACTTCTGTGGGCACCTGCGTGACTATGCAAAAACCCCACAGACATTAATACAACTTTTTTAAAGGGTAGTTTCAAGGCACGTGTGTGGTCTGTAGATGGGGGCCCACCCATTGAAAAGGGTATACTGCATGTGTACCCAGGTTCCGGGACCCCATGGATGGCCCACCATGCAGGAGATGCTGTGTAGACCCCACTGCCTGCCCTGTCTCTGTTCCGCTTCAGTTTTGTTCTTGGCCTGTTTCCCTCCTACTTCACCACTCTCCCAAAGTTGTTAGTCACTCAGCTGCCTGGATCCCAGGAACTAGAAGCTTCTTGCTGGTACAGGAGAAACCAGGAACAGTAAGTTGATGTTAATGAAGGATCTGTTAAGCCTTCTTGGAAATGTTAATTACAATAAACTTTAGCTAAAGGAGTGCTCAAGACTGAGTAGTGTACTAACCAGACTGTAGGAAAGAAACATTTGTACCTTGAGCATATTTAGTTTAGGTTTTCTGAGTGTTAATATCTGTTCACTAAGGTTGCCACCTGTTAGGGCCATAATAAAAGGAGGCACACCTGGCTCACAGCTGGCCACCAGGAACATTGCTGTACCAAAGAACATGCCTCTGTTGGCAAGTTCAAAGCGGGCAGCCCTGGGCCACAGTGCCACTGGATCCTGGTCCTTATTAAGCTCAGGCTCTCTTATCAGGAAGAGCAATATCCTGCCAATCAGGCATGCCAACCATGGTTAACAGCTGTCTAGGGGCTGTCTCAGGATGACCATAGCAAGTACTTTATATTGTAAATCTCCCCATCTATTCAAACAACCAAACTTTGGAATTTTTGTGTCTGTGACACAAATTTAACTGCCCAGAAGTATAACTATGGGCCCTGAAACCACGAAAACTGATGGGGATTTCTGTTGAGGGTTGGCTCCCTTTTGTACAGTAGCCAGAACCAGTCCTGTGCTGCTTAAAGAGTTTCCCTTATCAATCTCCACGTGCTGGAACAACGTCTCCCTGGGAAGGTGTGAGATCACTGTGATCATGTAGTGTTGGGTGTTGTAACTGAGGGTGGACTTTAAGTGGACAGAGGACCTGTGCACTTACATACAAATGCTATTTTATTTGACCCAAGAGGCTTAAGCACTTGCTGATTTTGATGCCCACGGGGCTCCCAGGACTGATCCCTCAAAGACTCCAAGGGGTAACTGCTTAGAAACCACGCGACCACACGCGGCCTAAGCAGAGGCTTGCTGTCACTGCCCTGAACCAAGTGTTAAAACTGTACATATCACTCTCCTGGGAACACATCAAAACTCACAGCCTAAGTCAGGGACTGCACCAAGCTCAGCGTGTGGAGATAGGGGCAGAAGCTGGGGCACAGATCGTCAGGACTGTGGAGACTCGATCAACCTTCTAGTTCCCAAACAGGAAGAGATTTTACATCACTGAGGTAAGTAAAACAAAAATAGCTTATCAAGGGACTGGAGAGAGAGTTCCAGGGCACTTACTGCTCTTCCAGAGGGCCTTCGTTCCCAGCACCCAGATCAGGTAGCTCACAACCACCTGTAACCCCAGGGATCTCTGACTCTCCTTTCTGGCATCTGTGAACACCTGAACACATGCAGCATACACTCACACAGATGTTTACATTCAAAGAAATAGAAAAGGGGGCTGGAGAGATGGCTCAATGGTTAAGGGCACTGGCTGCTCTTACAGAGGACCCAGGCTTGATCTCCATTACCCACACAGTAGCTCATAACCATCTGTAACTAGTTCCAAGGAATCTAATGCCTTGTGACTTCCAATAGCACCTCATGCATGTGGTACAAACAAACACACATATATACATTCATACAAACTAAAAAACAAATCGTGGAAAAAAAAAACCTGCTAAGAACTCTCTACCTGCTCTCTCCCATTTTTTCTTCCCATGTTTTGAACTACTACTACAATTGGCTTTTGTACCTACCATACAGTTGGAGTGGTTCATGAGTCACCCACCATGTTTACAATCCATCCTCACCTGCCCAACCAGAAGAGCCCCTTGGTGCCCGCAGGCAGTAGGCACGTTGATGTTCATTCTGTGTTTAATCAGCAACAACCAGAGATGTCAACAGGTCAACTTCTGTTCATCATGAGTACAAGGGGAAAAAAGAACCTTTACTGGCAGTGACACCTGAAGGAAACAGTGATGCTTTTATTGTTACATTCTGATTCACAGGATAAGTTACAAAGGTTCAGAGACCCTCCTTCCTTGGTAAAAAACCATGTCCACAGTGAGCTGACTAACTCAGCAGAGAGGGGCTAAGAGTGAGAGCCTAAGGAGGCCTGGTTCCAGTCTTCTACTAGAGCACGGATGACTGAGTCTGCACAATGATCAAGTTCTAGCTAAGGGACAATGTCAGTGTTGACCTCTTCCATCACGTGGCAAGGACTCCATACTTGATTGACAAGTCTGAATACTAGACCACAGGACCTTACACGGAACTGACAGTGTGTCTGCTCTTGTTTTTGTCTCCTGAACCAGGGTTTCACTATGTGGCCCATGCTGGCCTTGAACTCCTGAGTCTCCTGCCTTCTTCCCACCAATGGGACCATGATTAGTGATGTTTCAGGTGGAGTTGCTGCTGCTTGTCACATATCCACCAAAGTTTTCATCCATATGACAGAAGTCTCCACCAGTGTTCTTCTGCCATTATCTCTAAGCATGGAGTTCTACATGTTTTGAAGACGTACTGAGGATAAGAAGAACATTAGAATCTAACCACTGATCTTCTAAATCTGGGTCACAGCTGACAATGCCACAGGTGATGTGGGCAAAGTGCATGTTCAACGTAAAAGTGCATTTGGGCTTACAGGTGATGGAATGGCACTACAGCAATTCCACACAGGTCCCAGCATTCCATCCATATTCACTTCCTAGGTCCAGCATCAGCACCACATGTAAGTGTCACACTCTCCACAAGCCACCATGCCTTCCGGATTTCCAGGTGCTGAGAATGAGACCCTTATAAGTGGTTGGTTTTATAAGACTCAATTAAAGACAGTAAGTTTCAACCCTTACCCCTACTGTGGGATTTGTGTAAGTACCTTCACAACAATAAAAGCATTCTCTATAATTCATTACACATTCATTACACAGGCCAAAAATGAGCTTCTAACATCATTTCAACAACTACCTCGTACCACACACAACAGTTGCCCATATTTTAATCACTATTCCACAGACACTTGATGATTTTATCAACAATGCTCCTGGGATGAAATTTGGATTACATAGAAAAGTGTATGAAAACCAGCAATAACCAGCTCTGAAGGGGCACAGTTAGAACATGGATGTACCGAGAAATCACTATCAAGCCACAACTCTGGAAATCCAAAGACAACCTGTTATGTATCCCAATCTAGGAGTCAAACCCACCTATATAGTGTTGGAAGAGAAAAACCACTCAAAGGAAGCAGCGTCAGACATGGCAAGCCCACGGCACGGAGCCGGCAGGCTTTCACCATGTGAGAAGGAATAACCCAGACTTTACTATGGGAAGGCTCCCCATTACCACGTCCTGACAAAGTCTCTCTTGATGTCCTATCAGTAATTCTGCTCAGACATATAGCATACACACGGTTCTAGAACGACCTTAGGGAAAGGCAGTGCACACACACAGGCCCCACATGAGCTATGTGGCGTGACACGTGTCTACTGCTACCACCACCTGCACTCACAGTTCACAGTTCGAAAATAACTCTTTCTGTTGTCTTCCTGATACACATTATTAATTCAAAAAAATTGGTTTTTTGAGATAGGTTTTACCTACGCATCCCTCGCTAGCCTGGAACTATGTAGCCCAGGCAAACTCAGAGATGTGCGTGTCTCTACCTCTAAAGTGCTGGGGTTAAAGGCATGAA